CCTCCGGGGCATCCACGGGTGCTGCACCCACTGCCGAACCCTCCCCGGGCACCCATGGGGAGGGCAGGGCGTTGGTCACACACAACCCCCCCCTTGCCCCTTCCCCAGCACCCGCCGCCTGCGGGCGATGATTCACGGCAATTTTCCTTTTAAGGCCGGGCTCACTGGGGAGGAAGCAGAGGAGGAGGAGGAGAAGGACACTCCTTCGACCTCGCTGGCTCCTCCTGCTCTCGCTCGAGGCTCCGACGCTCAGCCAAAAACGAATCCCGGCGGCGGGGCTCAGCAGAGGCTCCGACGGCTCCCGGCCCCGCTCCTCGCCCAAGCGTCTGCCCCTGCGCCCACGTCCCAGCCATGGCAAGAAACCACCAAGTGCAGAAGGCCAAGCTGGCCGAGCAGGCTGAGCGCTACGAGGACATGGCAGACTTCATGAAGGCGGTGGTGGAACACGGGGACGAGCTGTCCAACGAGGAGCGCAACCTCCTCTCCGTCGCCTACAAGAACGTGGTGGGGTGCCAGCGCTCGGCGTGGAGGGTCATCTCCAGCATCGAGCACAAAACCGAAGAGGGGGATGACAAAGCGCAGCTGGTGAACGAGTATCGGGAGAAGGTGGAAAGGGAGCTGAATGGCGTCTGCAAGAACGTCCTGAACTTGCTGGACAAGTATCTCATCAAGAAGGCGAGTGATCCCGAGAGCAAGGTCTTCTACCTGAAGATGAAAGGCGACTACTTCCGATACCTGGCCGAGGTGGCCACCGGGGATGACCGCAAGAAGGCGATAGACTACGCCCAGGAAGCCTACCAAGAGGCCATGGACATCAGCAAAAAGGAGATGCAGCCCACGAACCCCATCCGCCTGGGGCTGGCCCTCAACTTCTCCGTCTTCCACTACGAGATCGCCAACGCCCCCGAACAGGCCATCTCCCTGGCCAAGACCACCTTCGACGAGGCCATGGGGGACCTTCACACGCTCAGCGAAGACTCCTACAAGGACAGCACCCTCATCATGCAGCTGCTCAGGGACAACCTCACGCTATGGACAGCCGAGTGCGCCGGGGAAGACGGCGGCGAGGCTGGCGAAGAGCCCAAGAACTGAACGGCCCCTGCAGAGCCGGGGACCGGCCCCCACCTGCCCCCTCCTCCAGTCCCTTCGGCATCTCTTCGTGGGTTGTTTTGTTGGTT